GAGCCTGACGCAGGGCTCGAACTCAGGAGCCATGAGATCATGACCTGAGCTGAAAAGAGAGACAGAGCATAAGTGGGGTAGGGGCAGAGTGAGAGGGAGACACAGAATCTGACCCAGGCTCCAGGATCTGAGCTGTCAGCCCAGAGCCTGATGCAGGGCTCGAACCCACAACCCACAACCCACCCACCGTGAGATCATGACCTCAGGCAAAATTGGACGCTTAGCCAACTGAGCCACTCAGAAGCCACTGGTAGATGATTTCTAAGGTCACTTTTAAAAATTATCAGCCTATGAATCTAAGAGAAAATCACTGGAAAGTGCAATCAATTTTGATACTGCAGGACTGCATTGTCTGCAACTGTTTTAATTTTTAAGGAAGTATTTTATAGTTTAAAAGTAAGTATTTTATTTTCCATGTAAGTACAGTGTGGTATTCTCGGGCAAAGCATAATTAATTGGTCTGTTGGTGGTTCAGTAACTGTTTCCAACGTTTCCTCATATGGTGCCTCAGAAACTCCTGTCTTTCATAACTCAAACCAACATGCCTCCAGTTTCTTTTCTTTTTTTTTTTTTTTTAAGTTTATGTATTTATTTTGAGAGAGAGAGAGTGGGAGAGCGAGAGAGAGCACGAGCAGGGGAGGGGCAGAGAGAGAGAGAATCCCAAGGAGGCTCTGCCCTGTCAGCACAGATAGTGAAGCCCCATGTGGGGCTGAAACCCATGAACCCTGAGATCATGACCTGAGCTGAAAACAAGAGTCGGACCCCTTAACCGCTTAACTGCCTGCCCCACCCAGGCAGCCCGCCTTTGTCAAAAAAAAAATTGTTAGTGATTTCTCCAAAGAGCCAGAAACTTACTTTCTCCTCCCACATAATATTAATCTGTGATTTTTACAAATATGTAAGATACGTGAAGAACAGAAGAGAATTGAATTTGGTATTTTTTTTTTTCCTGAAAGTCTCCTCTCCAGAAGGCAGTGCTTCCAGGAATGGTCGCACACTGTCAGCTCATTTGTGCTGCCACCTCGTTCCCAGAAGAGCATCTGTGGATTTTTGGAGAGAATGCTATACTTCTGGGAATGGTGCCCAGAACATGCAAGCCTCCGTGTCATTTTAGAAAGTAGAGAGGGGCAATACAATCTTCATTTGCTGCAATCTTTTATGGGCAGTCATCAGTCCCCCCGGCTAGCAGCTGCAATATCCATATCTTCTTATTTGTGGATTTCGAAAACAGACAGACTTTTCCCACAGTGTGAGTGTGGGATTTTCTGCCCTTTCTTCTCCTTCAAGCCTACAATTTCCCGTTCTCTTTTCACTCTCAAGGGGGTAACACAAGCATTAACGATGATGAAAGGGACTCCTAACATCCATGGGAAATATGTGAAAGTCAAGTGAAGTTATTTCCCCTCAACTCAAAGGAACACCTAAAAGTATTAGAAGATTTTACAGGTACGTTATATATTTTATTCAAGTTTAAGCCTTACAGATACCAAATCGTTAGTGTAATATTTGGGTATTTTTTTTTTGAGTTCATTTATTTATTTTGAGGGAGAGAGGGAGAGAGAGAGAGAATCCCAATCAGCATGGAGCCCAATGTGGGGTCGAATCCACGAACCACAAGATCATGAACTGAGTGGAAGTCAAGAGTCGGACGCTTGACCAGCTGAGCCACTCAGGCGACCCTGAGTATTTACTTTAATGCACATTAGAAAAATGTAATTAACACCCCATTTAATATTTAATAAATATTTTACTGCTTTAGCCTGGAGCTAAAGTAAATAGTGACGTGGTCACGTGCTTTAGTATGACTCGGTGCTCAGAAAGTCCAGAAAAGGTTAATTAACCTCTTAAAATGAAATGTTTTACCATTATGGTTTGTCAGCATGAATAGTAGGGTGATATAAGTTGGAGGCATGGGTTTTCATATACTGATAACATATAGTATCTTAGTTTTTTTTATAAGAGTATTGTGACTACATTTCAAGAAGTTAATATTAAGCCTCCCAATTATGCATAAATGAAATAAAGTTAAGTGTGAATGGGAATAGGTTTTGTACTGTTTGTGCGTGTGTGTGTGTGTGTGTGTGTGTGTGTGTACGGTTTCTTCTCTATTGAACCTATTTCATATCAGTGGTTGAAAGAAGAGAATGTTAATACATAGAAGTAAAAGTTACTTAACTATGATATGAGGAGTCAAGAAGTTACTATGATTAACATTATCAAAATAATTTCAGGTACATAGCATTGACATTAAATTTTAGCTATAACTACTATTACTAATACACTATTAATATTATTAGGTTTGACTGTGATAAAACCCTTGCATGTCCTCAGAGAGAGAGACAAATTAATATCCTTAAAATTCTGTTCATTTTGTAGAAGCAACAGCTGCAAAGGAAATACTGAAAGTATGATAAAATATTTACAATGTAGATTTTTATGAAACTGTAAATAACAACAAACTATTTCCTTTAAGTTTAAGAGAGGATCCCCAATTCTGATACGATATGCTCTGACCTCAAGCAGCATTGTGAAACTTCCAAAGAGTAAGCAATGCGGAAAGATATCCAAGCATTTTAGAAACTTGTTAACACTCTAATTGGATAGAAATGCTGATATTTTCAAATACACATTTATCATGTTTTATTTCCTTGCAAAAGCTTATCATTACTGGTGTGATTTGTAAATAAACTTATCATATCTGCTGCCAAAGTAGTTTAGAATAATAAGCAGGGACAAGCAAAGGAACTGGTAAGTTGCTCTGTCAAAGAACACAGTTCATTGTAAAATTACAGAGATAGCTAAAATCTTAAGGCAATAAATACTATCACAACTAGAATAAAATCTATTCACTCTAAATGCATTAATCCTCTGTTGTGATTTTTAGTTAGTATTCAGTGTAGCATAAATGAGTTAAATCCTGTGACCATGGAGATCTTAAGTTGTGACAGTTTTGCCCAGTCAGGACAACTGGAGTAGAGATTTTAGAACTTATTTAATAAATTTGTGACATAATCTGAAAGTGATTTATTGGCACGAGCACAAAGAGCACTCCAGTCAGAGTAGGTATAAAAAATAATGTATTCCACATAGTCAGATTCTATCACAGGAAAGTAATATTCCATATCCCACACCAACAACCCTCTACTCCATGCCATCCAGGAAATGTGGAAGTCTCAGGAGACATATAAAAGCAAAAACACCCTATCACTATAAAGAGAGGCCACTAAACTCTTGAAATGTTTTCTAAAATTTGTCTAGAATTGTGAAATTGCAACAATTAAGGTTTTTAGTTTTACTAACATCTGCTTTTTTTTTTTTTTCTGAAAGCCTCCCCTTTTCTACTGAGGCAAAAGAACAACTTTGGTGTGTTTTTGTCTTTGTTTTCTTCGTAGTTAAAACCTTTAATATGTGACATTGTCTGCATCAGTAGCACTGCGTTTGTCTATTAGAATATTTTGCAGATCTATCAGCCCTGTGGGACAGCCTTAATTTAATGTCTTATAAAATCCATTTATATCAGTATTCCACATTCAAGACAGACTGAACTCATTGATGGCAAAATTGGAACATCAGCCATCAAGCCTTAACCATGGTATGTTATATTATTTTATGTGTTGGGACGACTTAGTTATAAACTCACCGGAAGTACTTCGTGTTGAACAGTATTTTGAACATTCCAAAAAACGTTGTTGGTGAATGGCCAAAGTAAAAGGTCTTCACGTATAACTTCCCAAATTGGAAAGCACTTTTGTATCACTAAGAAATGCTTTTGTTTCCAGTTGCTGCAAACATCACCAGATTCCTTGACACATTCAGAAGAACGCAATTTGGGGAACAGTTCAGATGGCCTCTTGAAGCAGAAGTTTGTTATTCAAAGCTGCTGATCTTATTTTAATTAACAATGAACACTCAGTCAGAATTTATCACAAACAGCAGCTAAATAAGTGTTCTAGTTTCCAAATATGTATATATTTCAGTTGGGGTTCTCAGAATTGATTAACATAAAAAGGTTTATAGCTTATCTTGTTAACGTAAGCTTCAGCTTAATTAAATTTGAAGGATCTAAAACTTGATTACTGGGTAGTAATAGACGTTTTCTTTCTAATTCTGGAAGAGCTAGTTTTTAAGTGTGCAACTGTTACATCGATTCATTTAATGACGATTTTTGTTGATCTTTAACATTTAATGATATTTTGGTATAATGGCGTTAATTATTATAATAGTGATAAAAGCACGCATAATTCATTTTTAGGCAAAGAATGTATATAAAATACTAAGTAAATAACAGTATAGCTGGTAAACAATTAGAGCAAAAAAAAAAAAAATAAGTGTTGTATGTAACGTGACAATTTGGTAAACTATCCTAAACCAAAAAATAGAAAGATAAATCTTTCTTGATGTTTAACCCACATGAAAATAATGACTGAATGATCATGATGGAAAGTCTGCCATCCTGTCTGTCAAGTGCATAAAGAATCTGCTTAACTAAATTCACACAGGCTTACTCAAATGCTTGTTTGACAGAATCGTTTGTGAGAAAGATCAGTTTTCTGGATCAAATTGGAAATCCCGTAAATCCTTGATTCTCATTTGTTAGAGATTTTATTACATTTAGTTTACAAAGAAGTTATCAGTATTAGAGTTGGTATAATAAATGTATTGCTATTGATGATAAACATATGCACATTTTGTTTCAAAATGAATTTGATGTATAACCCTTATGCCATTGGGGAGATATAACTGTATAATGTGGAAAGAAAATAAATATATTGATCAGAGTAGCTGAAAAACTTTGCTTAGACATTTATAAATATTTCCAGGCCTTAGAAACAGTTGTTTCAAGAATTTGAGATCATGATAAGTGACTTGCCACATGTGATTACTGGACAGATTTTATTAGTCAACCTACCCACCCAACCTACACACCACACTTGGCATCAAACGTTAGGACAGGCTGTGACAATAAAAGTGACATTCAAGAGCATAGCTACTTCTTGGCACAGCCAGCCATAATCTTGGTGCTTGAATAAAAAGAGAACTGTTGAATACATCAACTACGTCCCTTGGGAAAAGAACACTACCCAGAGAAACACTTAACAGTGAAAAATGCGTATGAAGAACCGTATTATCAATATTTGAAAGAAGAGAAATATCTACAGGACCAGGTGGTCAATCTTCACTTGCTACAGTTATCTAGCATTATCTGATTATTGGTTCCATAACCAACAATAACCCTAAGATAGTAACCCTAGTCATTCAAGATTATTTCACCTCTTTTCCTCTAGATAAACGCTCAGAGGCAATATTTCATGTCTCAAACATTTGTCCCAAGGACAGATTGTTGGCTCTGCAGACTTTACAGGAGTATTCTGATTTTCAATAAGTTTGTCTTATAAGGATGAAAAAAGAGACATGATTCTGGGTTTTCAGCTTAGGAAATTCAGACATCCAAGTACTTATGTGCTCCAAAATCTGGTCACACATTAGTTTTCTTTTCTTTTCTTTTCTTTTCTTTTCTTTTCTTTTCTTTTCTTTT